GCGTCGGGAACTTAAGAGCAAGAAGGAAGAAAATGGCTAAGGTGTCTCTCGTTGTGGCTTATGGCAGAAGGATAATAACAAGCATTAGAAAGTACCATTACCCCGATGCTGAATGGAAACGTGCTGTACGCCAACGTGTCACTATGTATAAGATCGGACCACCCGTGCGTCACATAAGTTCGACAACCGCGGAGCAGCGGTGAGCTGCGCGAAGCGTTCCTTTTCATTTCGTGCACTCGGCTGACAGAAGCATAAAGTAACTTTCACGCCAACTCCTACTCGACCGACGCACGTACTTGTCGGCTGCGTCGTAACGTAGCGTGCAATGGTATACTATGCATGCAGTGTCGTGATACTACGCAACAGGTAAATAAAGACTATGATAAGAAAGTTTGATGAGCGCGTTTTGCATGCAATACGCGTACGAGATGAAAGAGGCAACTCCCTGGCGCACTCATCTTTCTCTTATTTTATTTTTATTTTTAATGAGATGTAGCGCATTCATCTAGCGTTTCCAACGTCACAGTTATGCGTGTAAAACGCCGACGTGCTCCTTCGCAAGAAACACTTATAGGCTTGTTGCAATTACAGGTTTACAGCTAAGCAACTCGCATTTTCCATAAATGTACGATCGTGTCGAGCACTCGGTGACGAGCGCCATGGTTTTGTAAAGTTGATTGAGAAATTTTTATAAGTGGCTTGCTCAACTCGGTCTATTTTAGGGGCGAAGCTCCTTATAGCGGCACCCATTTGCCCCTCGTAATCGTAATAGTAGTCGTAGTGTGCAACCAGTCTTACAGTTTGACCTCCAAGGTCGTGCCGGTGAGAGATTTCTTCTGTGCGTTGTTGAACAATAAGAAATTCGCAGCGTGCGCGTTAACTAAAAGTCGAATTCTCCTGTCTCTCATTCCTCCTTAGCAGCCATTGGCATGTACATTGAGCACTATCTGACAAGAAAGGGTTGCTACGTTATACTCGCTGGGCGTAACCTCCTTGGTTTTAGAAAGGTTTAGCGAGCGTTCGGCCGCAGTGCCATGAATGCAGTGAACTAGCATATGCCATGAACTCGAGGTGGTTAAAGGTGGGAAGTGGACCTGAAGCGCAAGCCGTAAGAAAGTGTGCGTGTGCCACCTCTCGTTTAGTCCTTAGAATGTCCACTGGATGGCGGTGCATATGCGGAATATATGAAAAGATGTGAGATGGTGGTACTTGGAGTGTCGAATAGATAGACGAACGGACACACAGACAGATGCATGGATGGACTCATGGATGGCTGCACCGACGGATGGACGCATGGACGGACGCAGGAGCGGATGCATGGACGAACGCAGGGACGGATGCACGGATGGACATGCGGACGCACGAACAGACGCACGCACGGATGGGCGGACGGACGCGCGGACGGTCACACAGACGGACACATAGACGGAAGGAAGCAAGAACGAATGGACGGACGGGTGCTTGGCCCCACTCTCCATCATTCACTCCATGGATATGCTGCCATTTTTTTAAGTGACCGTGTCTATGCACGATATTCAGATTATTATCCCTAATCAGTTCTACGTGTCTGCAATAGTGTACATACTAGAAACTGACTTGTGCGCTGAGAAGAAATGGCCGTTCCGTGTATGTCAATGTTCTTGATTGAAACGCACAGATGCGTGCGTACTGTACGACCTGATATATCGGTAAAATAACGAGGTGCTCTCCATGCGGATATCGGTGCTGGACTTTCCTCGTAACTGTTCTGAACCGTTGTTGCCGGAAGGGTTTATTTCTGGCACTCACATACTTTATGTCGACACAAACATCGAATCATTTCGGGCACAGACGTTCTATTTTCTATATATATACGCCCGCGTACGACTTTCCTTCTGCGAATAAGTACTGTGCAACAACAAAAAAAAAAAAAAAGCGCAGGCTCCGAGACCACATGTAAAGGCGTGCCTATTACGATAAGGTCGTACCTTCTGTGCTATCCAGCTGCTAACTTGAGATGTATCTGAATATTTTCCCAGTGCATTACACGGCCCAGTTCTTTGGCAAAGCTACATCACTATACGATACCACTAGATCACCGAGACGGACAATGTTCAAATAATTTGGCAACAGAAGTTGCATTGATTGATTGTTTGATATGTGGGTTTTAACGTCCCAAAGCCACCATATGATTATGAGAGACGCCGTGGTGGAGGGCTCCGGAAATTTCGACCACCTGCATGGGGTTCTTTAACGTGCACCCAAATCTGAGCACACGGGCCTACAACATTTCCGCCTCCATCGGAAATGCAGCCGGTATTCGAACCCGTGACCTGCGGGTCAGCAGCCGAGTACCTCAGCCACTAGACCACCGCGGCGGGGCGGCAACAGAAGTTAGAATACTATATATAACTTTGAAGCGGAAGTGAGCTGATTGCAGCCTGATGAGATAGCAATTCCAAGATGCCGTGATCAGGTTCTGCGTGTGCTGTACATGCACATAACGCAGCGTATGCACGGCTGTATCATTCGGCCATATACTCAACGCGTAATCGGCTCTTTTTTTTTTCTTTCAGCGAGGTCTGCCAATAACACACAATAGTATACGATAGCAGCTGTACTCTTGAAGGATCAGTTCATCTGATATTACAACTACCCAGTAGTGGCGGGCTCTGTTCTAATTGTTACACGTGACCACTACTGAATACGCCAGGACAAAACCACTTAGATGGTCAACCACATTCAAGACATTCTGTAGTTACGGAAGTTTTTACGTTGACGAACATGTTGATCAATGATGTCACGCATTACCACGGTAATCTCACTGACTACTGGAAATTATTTTGAATGTGTCCAAAATGATAAATTTTCCTGCACTATTGCAAAAATATTTCTAGAAAGCTTGAGTGTGCAAGATTTCAAAAAATATAGCTCATGGGCAATGAAGATCGCTGGTTAATCTACAAACTAAATCAAACGCATGGGTCGAAGATAGTGAAGTCAAGCTTTGACAATAAATTGGCGTTATAAAGAATGAAAAGAAATCGACTACATTGACAAGAAAATTATCAATATCCTAAGACATATGCGCATGGATTAGTTAGAGACGTTGATAATGAAAAGAAATCATGACCTGCAGCTTCAGAGTTTTTTTCAAGGTTCAATGTATGCACACTCAGGATGTAAATAGGTGTTTCTGGAACATTCCTCGCCCGCCGTGGCAGCTTGGTAACTATTGCGTTTTAACTCGAGGACGCAGCTTTGATTTCTAGCCGCGGGCGAAACACAGGCGAAATGCGACACAGGTGAAACACAGGCGAAATGCGAAAACATCATTGTACTTATTACGCTAAATGACACCACGTGGTAAAACATAAACCCTGTATGGTATGTCCCCCCACTGTAGCGTGATAACAGTATTGATATGTGGTGTTTAGCGTCCCAAAACTACCATATGATTATGAGAGACGCCGTAGTGGAGGGCTGCAGAAATTTCAACCACCTGGGGTTCTTTAACGTGCACCCAAAATCTGAGCACATGGGCCTACAACATTTCCGCCTCCATCATGATAATAATATCGAGGGTTCACACGACAGAAACTAAAAGTGTGGAACTCTCTTCAGGGTTCTCCTAAGCAGTTCGCCCCACGGGGAAGCGTATACATTCGGTGCCGAAGAGATGCGCCCTTGAGATGCGCAGCTTTCCTGTGCACAGGTAAGGCGGGTCAGAAAAGCCCGGGATTTTCAGGCCTTGTGGGCATGATGGATGAGCTCTTGTAGCTGGGCAGAGGTCGGGCGTAGGTGTAAAAGGGCAGCCTGCAGGGGCTCTATACATGCGCCTCCAGTGAGTGGATGCGTCGCAACACTTCTCTGTTGTTTTTCTCCACCACGGCTTCCGTCTTGACCCAGCTGTGCTCACGACTCCGCTGACTCCGTAAATCAGGCGCGCGTCGCTTCGTTGGCGGCTGTGAAAGATGTGCGGCCTGGGCGCGCATGTGCCTGAAAGACTCTAAACGCACTTGTACGCTTTCACAACAGATGCTTCGTGTCGTGGAGATTGTAACTTGAAACGCCGTTGTCGAAGCAAAGGACCGTATAAATCATTTCGAGCCCTTTATTTCCAAATAACACGTATAAAGGCAAGAACTGCGACTAATTTACGACGACAACAATAATAGAAGGCTCACCGACGAAGAAGAGCGCGCGATATATCAACTCTCGAGCACATTATTTTGTTGCGTTGTTACATTCCAAAACCGCGATTAATTACGAGGGAAGGTGTAGTCGAGGGCTACGGAAGTTTTGACAGATTGATTTGTGGGGTTTAACGTCCCAAAACCACTATTTGATTATGAGAGACGCCGTAGTGGAGGGCTCCGGAAATTTTGACCACCTGGGGTTCTTTAACGTGCACCCAAATCTGAGTACACGGGCCTACAACATTTCCGCCTCCATCGGAAACGCAGCCGCCACAGCCGGGATTTGATCCCGCGACCTGCGGGTCAGCAGCCGAGTACCTTAGCCACTAAACCACCGTGGCGGGGCCTACGGAAGTTTTGACCATCTGATTGATGTCTATCTGATTTATATTACTTTTCGCATATGTCTTCCCATTCCCTTTTCTGTTCGGTATTCTGTCTTGAGTGCTCTTTTCAATGCTGGTATTTCGTGCCAACTCACCTAAGGCATCCTCATTAGCTGTAATTTTTGTTTCAATTTCAAAATAAATGTCTATTTAGTTAGCACATTTATAACTTGAAACGGTCAGGACACTTGTGTCCCTTAGTTAAGACGCGCTGTCTACAGTATTCTGGCTTGTTAACATCCAAGTTTCTATATAAATACCTGCTAACACGAGCAACCAATCTGCGTAATCCCGTGAGGGTAATTAAACTCGATGCTTCAAGGCAACGCACTTGGCTGTGGAGTAATTACCAGCCAGCGCTTCCAAACACTGCGGGAATCGAAGGCAAGAAAAAAAAGGAAGAATCACAGTGGCGGGTTTCCTATACACCTTTTAGCTACATCGAAAAGTCGTGCCTCATTCGGAAGTGCTGTGCAAGTTTCACATTTGTCAACGTAATGCCAATTAGCCGAGATAACTTTAGAATTATTTTTCTAATGATGTCGACGAGTTCTTGAAAGTCCAACTTGTTAGCCATAAAAGCCAAAAAAAAAAAAAACGCAAGGGGAAAACGTTCCACCACCACCTCACGCATTCGGTATTCGGCCTTCCAGCGCTGAGCGCACCGGCGGAGGTTTCCGACGGTGATTGATGACGGAAGAAGGCCACCCTTGTTTGGCGCAGCGACTTGAACGAGAAGTTGCCCAGTGTAATGTGTCTTCATTAACTTGCTTCGTGCACAAATTGCGACGAATGGGCCTTTGCCATGCATGCTTGATCTGAAAAACGTACATAGTGGCGTCAGCTGTTATCACGCGCGAATGTTTCTGTTTGAGTCGCTGATTAAAGTGTACAAGTGACGACGGTGACAAACGAATAGAGATCGAAATCGTGCCAAATAAGCGCGAAATAAAAAGATTGAGCAACAGGGCAAAAGGTGATGATACAATTTCCATGTCGTTTTATGATGCCCATTTTTCGTAAATGTATGCTTTTTCAACACAACTTCGCGATATATTTAAATGTATAAGTGTACATCTTATCAACAAGCCGTTATACTACTTAGCGTTTTCTGTTCACTCTTTAATTAAAGGTAAGTCACCCTTCAGTATAAGCTAAAACATCTCAGATTCACGTCACTGCGACAGCATGTGTGTGCTCCATGCTGGACTTTTTTCTACATTCAACGGCCTTTAGCTACGAACGATGACTTTTAAATCGAAGCTTCGTTAACACTCTACTCACTCGTTCTCAGCACAACCATAGCTATTGGACGAAGTATTGGAATATCTTGTCAAATTCCTCCACTGCATTTCCTCGTAATAGGGTACGGTGCACAAAATGAAACACCTGGCAAAGCGCGACAATTTGACTTTGAACCAAATACAATGTCAGCCATACCTTAGTGTGCTTTAATGAACGTTACATTTGATCACTTATTTCAGGAAAAAGCGCTTGTTGAAAGCTACGCTGCTCGACGTCATGCGCTTAGCTATGAGCCATAGGTATCATTCATGACAGCATCATCACCACCTTAATTCACTAAACACCGATATTGGTGGATAGAGGTTGTGTTTAAAATGGGGCTGTGTTACAGTGCTTAATATCGAGCCTCAATTGACGTCGTAACGCTCTAAGGTGTGACGCATGCCTCCAAAGCAAAGCTGAACTTTGAACTTTATCGACGCCGTATTCGTCATGTACAGGGCGGGAGAACAGCGCCGTGCCTGGGAAAATAAGTTAAGTGCTTCGTGTGCTCGCTGTGGTTGATAGACGGAGATATGGTGCAGAAAAGCTATGGCACGCATGCACCGATAAGAACTTTCTGAAACCCTTCATTTAGTACCATGGTCAATATACTGCTCGATCCGAGCTACAAAGGTCATTGTGTCTTCTCTTAGAGACGTTTAAACGAATACACAACTGTAGTGAGCGCTTTCGGCAAGTATAATCTGTTTTTTTATTCGTGTTATTTTTACGCTTTCGCATGCCATTACATAACATCTTTGATTGATTACCTATTTGTTGGAAGCGCAACAGACGCGATATAGTCTTTTCGAATTATTCGCACTTTTCAGCACCTGTAGGGGGCGTGGAGAGCGTTTCAACATGGCGGGTCGAGAGGTGATAGATTGATTGATTGATGTGCTGGGTTTAACGTCCCAAAACCACCATATGATTACGAGAGACGCCGTGGTGGAGGGCTCCGGACATTTCGACCACCTGGGGTTCTTTATCGTGCACCCAAATCTGAGCACACGGGCCTACAACATTTCCGCCTCCATCGGAAATGCAGCCGGGATTCAATCCCGCGACCTGCGGGTCAGCAGCCGAGTACCTTAGCCACTAGACCACCGCGGCGGGGCGAGAAAGGTGATAGAGGCTACCTGAAAGCGTGCTCGTCTCGAGAGTCAGGCTGCTTTCGGGCCTGTGCTATCTCTAAGCGCTAAACACAGAGATGTATTGTCGAAGGAGAGGCAGTGTTTATCGCTGGTCACGTTTTGCAAATTCCGTACGATATGTGAGAATTTACAGCAAACAGCGGTAGCGCTGGTGTAAACAAAGCGCCACACGTGCGTTTATGGCGAGATGTATGTTTCCCCGCGCCGGCTTAGCTGCGAAACGATTGTTCAAAGTAGTCGAGTGGCACAGACGCAGTGAAACAAAGGTGATTTAGGAGATAGAAACACTACGCATGTGATTGCTTTTAGCTCGTACCTCGTTTTTCGCCATGGCGCAGCACGACTACGATGCGCCCGCACCAACCTACCATCACCGTCTATCATCTTCCTAAACATTCCGCGCGGTGGCGCTAGCTGGTCTGAATAGTGCAAGGGGTCAAACCAAGAAAAACTATCGGTTAAGAAGAAGGTGAAAAAACGGAGATCGACATGTGGAGAATCGACATGATTAAAAAGTCCGCGCTAAAGATCTATCAAACTTTCAAGCAGGAAATTGCCAAGGAACATCTCTATGATAATACTAGGGGTAGTTCTCTACTGTTTGAGGCAAGGACGGGAGTACTGCGAACCAAGACATATCGAGCCAAATACGAAGAGTACACACGGTATGCAGTGCCTGTGGAGAGAAGAAGGAAGCTGCCGAACACCTGATAATGTTCTGTAAAGGACTTCACCCTACAGTTCAGGATGATGGCGCAGAGTCTTTCAAAGCACTGGGGTTTAGGGACAGCGAGGGCAAAATAGACTTTAAGCGGGTAGAATTAACTAGAAGGAGTTTATCTGATTGGTGGCTAAAGTCAAGGCACGAGTTAAAATTAAATCATTCACTGCAAAGTACCAGTCCTTAACCCCAGTATTTAAAGGGAAAAAATAAATCTAGTTTTTGGTTCACTAAGTATTACGGCTTGGTGGCGTTAGCCACCACCCCATCTAAAGGGTACAGCCACATCAATCCATCCATCCATCCATCCATCCAGTGCTAGGGGTCAAACCCCTTGACCCCTTGATCTGGAAAAATCAAGGGGTCAAACCAAAAAGAGCTATCGGTTAAGAAGAAGGTGAAGAAAACGGAGACCGACATGTGGAGAATTGGCATGATTAAGAAGTCCGCTCTTGAGATCTATCAAACTTATAAGCAGGAAATCGCCAAGGAAAGTATCTATGATAATACTCGGCGTAGTTCTCTACTTTTTGACGCCAGGACGGGAGTATTGCGAACCAAGACATATCAGGCCAAATACGAAGGGGTAGACACAGTATTCAGTGCGTATGGGGAGGAGGAGGAAACTGCCGAACACTTGATGTTCTGTAAAGGGCTTCGATCTATAGTTCAGGATGATGGCGCAGAGTCTTTCAAAGCACTGGGGTTTAGGGACAGCGAGGGCAAAAATAGACTTTATAGCGGGTAGAAATAACTAGAAGGAGGCTATCTGATTGGCTACTAAAATCAAGGCACGAGTGAAAATTAAATCCTTCACTGCAAAGTACCAGCCCTCAACTTCACTATTTAAATGAAAAAAAAAAGAGATAAACCTAGTTGTTGGTTTACTAAGTATTACGGCTAGATGGCGTCAGCAGCCGCCCGATCTAAACGGTACAGCCATATCAATCAATCCATCCATCCATTCAGTGCGAATATCTTTCGCTAAGTGACCATTGCAACAAAAGAAAGTCACGTAAAATACATAAGCTCGCGTCACACAATCGAAAGGTGGCACGCGCCTTTCATGCCGTAACGTCCATAGCACCTTAGTAACCTTCATCCACGTTCGCGTGCCGCAGTTGTGTTCATTGCGTAACAAACGCGAGCCGACACCCGCTGTCCCGTTTCTTTTCTAGTTTCGTTTTATCTGCCGATAGGACGACTGTGTTTAACTATGCACGCCTATCGCGACGGACAACACGTGGCGTTCGTCTGCTGCGCATCGTGCGCGCATGCAAATGTGTGACGGACCTGCGGGCACGTGGAAGTAGTCATTTTCCCAGAAGAGAGCATTTCCTTCAAACAAACGCAATGGGGCTCTTTCACAACGTCAGTGGTACGACGTGGTTGGTATGTCTGAATGCCTTGGAGTGCATCAACATCATTATGTCTGATCTTCATTCCTCCACCCTTATCAACTAGGCACCGCAGCATGTCATCATGGAGGCGTTTCCATAATCCTAAATAGCGAGGTCACAAGGGGGTCTTCATGCACACCCATGTCTTTCCGCTCCCCCTTTGTGTGAAGACTCTGTTGGGTCACAAAGTGTGCATATTACTTCATCAGGCTGTTATGAGACCAAATTATCGGATTTTCTTTCACCGTCAGGGTTGCATAACTTGGTGTCCAAGATTAAACTGTGCATCGTTAGGAGATCTCGAAAATAAAGACCTTCATTGTGTCCATGGAACGCTGGAATTCATAATGAAATGAATTTCGCCTATTCGTATGTCATAACGCATTTGCAACGTTAACCGCCCGAACATTTGTGAAACAATGCACAATGCGTCTGTTTCTAAAGCGTAAAACGCTCCGTGCAATAAGTTGCACAAACCAAGAACCCATTGAAGAGTCATTTTGGCGTGAAAATGATGCACGGTAGAAGCATTAGCGATATGGAACGTTGGTTACGTACGGGAATGCGTGAGCCGAGCCAACTCTTCGGTACACCACGACCTCTGTGCACTATCGTCGCAAAATAATGGGTGACTAAGTTTTGCGCATGCCTTCAACGCAGTCCTTGGGAACGTTATTCGCTGTAACGCAGTCACGTAAGATTTATGTGTGCAAGAATTGTGTGCGAAATAAAATTATTATATAAATGTATGTCAATTTTCTAGAAGTTTTAGGGTGCAAACTGCTCAAAAATGTTGAGCAGAGGCAAAACTGTATTGCGTAGGGGCGTATCGATGTTGCCCCTCCCCCGCCTATCTCATTTTTTTTCAACCATTCTATACAGAACACAAATTTACACTCGGCCATACTTACCTGCCCAGACACCACGTCGAATCAAGGTCACCCCCTCCCCCCCCCCTGCCCCTCGTCTAAAAAAATTGGGGGATCATTAAGCTCTGCCTTTCAGATCTGAACAAGATAGCGACGTCTTGTCCCTAGGGCGTACTTCAAGCACTTAGTGCATGAAATCTTTTCGAACTTGCTATGCACCACACTACGTGGCCTTGAGCTAATAGTTGGAGTGACCTGCGTGCCTATTGTAGTGGGTGACCGGTTTCAAACCATGAATAATTGCGAAAATCGGGTGTTCTGACGCTCTAATACAATGTACGCTTGTACCACGCATTATTACTGCAATATTTATGTTTTATTGTGAAG